CTGCGGTCTGGCATTGGCGACTCATGTTCATCTTGGAGTCAATAATGACTCCAAGATCCCTTTCTGCCTCTGTGCTCACAAGGAGGGAGCTCCCCAGCTTGTATGTATGCTGTGGATTCCTTCTCCCCAGGTGCAAAACCCTGCATTTATCTACATTGAACCCCATCCTCTTACCATCCACCCACTTCTGTAGTCTGTCTAAGTTTAATTGCAGCCTCTCTCTCCCTTCGAGCGTGCCTACCTCTCCTTACATCTTGGTGTCATCAGCAAACTTGGACAACGTGTTTTCCACCCCCTCGTCCAAGTCACTGGTGAAGATGTTGAACAGTGTAGGCCCCAGGACCGAGCCCTAGGGGACCCCATTGTTCACATCCCGCCAGGTCGAGTACGACCCATCCACCACCACACTCTGGGTACACCCCATCAGCCAATTTTTGACCCATCCAACTGTGTAGGCATCAGTGCCACAGTTGCTCAGTTTATTAATGAGAATGGGGTGAGAGAGAGTCACAAAACAAAAACTGTAATCTTAACTGCATGTAAAAAAATTTACTTTTCTAACATGCTGAAAGTATATTTTCCTAGCCCAGAGAGGATTAATCACATAAATAGTGCCTCTAAATAGTGTTATGTACTCACATACCATTTGTCTTATTTGAGATTTTAAAAAATTGTTACTGTATTTTAATGGAAATTTTTAATGATCCAAAAGGGAGTGTGCACACATGCTCACACACACAAGAGCAAGTGCATGTTGTTTAGAAGTCAGAGTTATATCCCTCTGGGACACATGGCAGGAAGAAAATAATTCCCATAGAAGATAACAGTATTCCAAAAACATTTTAAATGCTGGCATGTAGACATCGCTGAAGAGAATATTTTTGACATTTCAGTCTTACTTCTGGGATTAATTTCCTTTTTATTCCTAGGTTTACATACAACATTGCTTGCAAATTTCAAAAAAAAGTTGCACATTTTTTGTTTTTAAAAAAAAATTGCTACTTTTGGTGAAATTTAAGCATCAATCATGATTTCATGTTACTCTGAGTCACCAACAATTTCCTGAAAAAGAACCTTTTTAATGCTTTTCTAGAGCCATCAGGAAAATTAATATAATAGAGAGTAAGGCTCTTATCAAATACAGGATTTGGGCAAGGAATAATTAGTGGTCAAAGGCAGAGAGGTTCACAGGGTAGAAGTTATCAGAATGGTGTATACTTTGACTGTTGAATGTGGGTACAGACAAAACTGCAGCTCCTCGCTGTAACTGAGAACATTTTGCAGGAAGTGTTGAGTTACAACAATTCCCCGGACCAAACAGAAGTTCACTGTTGTTGGGGGGGAATTTAGCTGCTGGAGCCTGCAGCCAATTTCCCCCAGCAATAGCCCCTCCTCCCTATGAGGTGGCAAAGTTTTCAGAATGGGAGGGGGGAAAGGGAGCAAAGGGAGCTTGTTCTAGGGGTTCCCCAGCTGGCACTGGAAGGTGGGTGAATTGGAGCCCCCACCTCAGAGGGGCTCCAATATACCTGCTCCACCTTCCAGCTGGGGCTGAAAACGCCCCAGACTGAACTTCCTCTGCTTCCTTTACTCCACTCCCATTCTGAAAACAGCTCGAGGCTGGCGGGCAGCGCAGACAGAAGTTGCAAAAGATGCTCTGTTTTGAAATGTCTTCATTTGATCCTTCATGCAATGAAGGATCAGATTTTTGTCCAATCGGACATTTTTTAAGCTGCCTGCAGTTGTGCACTTGTGTTTGGTCATGGTTATAAATTGCTTTCTGTGGCCAGATTGGTTGACAACTGTCACTTTTGTCTGTGCCTTGTATGACTACGGGCCAAGATTTTTGGTACCTTGATTTTTGGGTGCCTGACCTGAATTTTTTTGTATGCAGGTTAGCACTTTCTGAAAATCTAAAACAAGTTGGTCAGTCAAAAACTAACCATTTAAAATTATAAACCACAGCTTGGCTTTATATTAAAATATTTACATTTTTTTCCTTCCGTCTTTTATCATTTCTACATCTCTAGCACTTTAAAGTTGGCCTCAAACCAACATTTAATTGAGATCTGGGCACACAAACTCAAATATACTTTAAGAACAGTTACATAGGTATGGAGAATTTCTTTTATTTGTACCAAAAACACTGAAAAACCCCCTCATACTCACATTTTGCACTTCTTTTGGAAGATGGAGTCCATTTCTTTTTCCCATTTTAATCGACTTATCTAAATATCTCTTAGCTTCAGGCTTTACATTTTCAAGATCGTATGTTTGCTGAAATGGTGATAAATATTTTCATACATGGCATTAGAAACTTCTCAGGTATTAGAAAGGTCAAAGCAAAACTGTTTATTACTTCTGCTGATCTGTACCATAGAAATGCCACCAACATCAGTTGCAAACAGGCTTTATAAATAATTTTACTGTACAGTAGTGTCTCTCTATTGATACAAGGCAGATTAAAACCAGAGAAGACTTTCTTTTAGCAAGCATCATAACTGAAAGTTTACCTATTTGGCTCTGCAAGAGCAGAAGCAAAGCTTTTGTACACTTAGACTGCATAGTGTATTTACACATTATGGGGGTTTACAGATGTTATCTGGGAGGCAGCGAGTGGGGAGGGAGGGAAGCGGGGCGACGCTTTAATTAGCGCAGCTCTCAGAGCTGCACTAATTAAAAGTGCCCAGACTAACATGTGTATTAGCATCCCTGTGCTGAAAAATGGTGGCAGGACACTTTGAACTAAAGCTCATCAAACCAGCTTTAGTTTAAAGCACCCCACCACCATTTTTCAGTGCAGGGATGCTGATACACATGATGCTGGAATATGCTGGAGCATGGTAATTCCCACACTCCAGCAGACTCGATTAATCAAGTCTGCTCCGATGCACTGTAATTACAGCACATCAGAGCAACCTCCCTGCATGTGTATAGGAGCCCTATGATACCAAGCACTCTCTTGTGTTTAAAGCATACTGTACTCAAGTTCATCCTGAACAAGTATCTTTTTAAACAATACACAAACTTAAAGTCATTTCCACAGATTCTACTGACTCTTAGCGCTTACATAAATTTTGTCAGGTCTATATAATTAAAATATGAATTAATCCAAATATATAAGGATTAACAAAAACATTTGTTGTTATATTGCATGGGGAAAACTAAAAAGGATATAAACTAATCTGTCAGAGCATAAGCCAGCCACTAACTGATGGAAAGCAATTCCTAGCTCAAAGGCCTATTATTCTATTACAGTAGTTCTTCCATCCTTCACTGTACAAGCAATTGGACTACGTAAGAGATTTTGGCCTACAAAAGTATTAGCCTGATCTTGTATGGCAATTCCTATGAAAATCAGCCACCCACAATGCAGAGCCATTCAGGGACATCTAATTCAGCTTGTATACCGCAAGTATTAAAGATGCATTAATACAGTGCTCTGCCTGGGTTGCTATATCCTACTTCTCATCAGTACTAATCTCAGCAGGCAGTACACTATACTAATGTAGCCCTATTGCTTCATATAGCTGAGCTAGTCCAGGTATGTCTGCATGACACTCCAATGTGCCACGCTGACATACCTTTAGTATCTCACAAATTGACAAGCCCTTCATGGTTTGCACTCACAAATTATCCATCTTTTCGTCCTAAACATTAAACAATGCTAAAAACAATTCAAGGTCATGTGTTTGCTGAAATGGGGTTATGTGATGATAAATATTTTTTTCATAACGTGGCACTAGAAACTTCTCAGTTATTAACAAGGGTCAGAATAGATCTGTTCATTACTTCTGCTGTTCTGTACCACAGAAATGCAGAAAAATCAACATCACCTGCAAACAGTCTTTATAACCAGTTTTCATGGAATCATAGAAAAATAGCATTGGAAGAGACCTCCAAGGATGGAGATTCCACAACCTCTCCGGGTAACCTATTCCAGTGTTTTACTATCCTCCTAATGAGAAAGTTATTCCTAATATCCAACCTAAATTTCCCTTGCTGCAACTTGAGACCACTGCTTCTTTGTTCTGTCATCTGTCGCCACTGAGAACAGTCTAGCTTCATCCTCTTTGAAACCACCCTGCAGGTAGTTAAAGGCTGCTACTACATCCCCTCCTAGTCTTCTCTTTTTCAGACTAAATAAGCCCAGTTCCCTCAGCCTTTCCTCAAAAGTCATGTTCCCCTGTCCCTTAACCAGTTCTGTTGTACTTTCTCAAATTTGTCTACATCCCTTCTGTAGTGGGGGCCCAAAACTGGACACAGTACTCCAGATGTGGCCTCACCAATGTTGAATAGAGGGGAATAATCACTTCCCTTGATCTGGCAATGCTCCTACTAATGCCATTAGCCTTCTTCGCAACAAAGGCACACTACACTGTTGGCTATACGGTAGTTGACTATATAATAGTTGACTCAGACGGCTGGAGCCAGCTTGAGGTGATATATAAATTGCTCGGTCGTTTGGGCGGGCTGGTGAATGGAGAGACAGACAAAGCGTATTGGTTGCAAAAAGCTTTACTTACGCCGCTAGTAGTCACGACGCAGGTGGTCCGGTCGCTTAAACAACTACACGAGTTGCTCCAGC